TACTCCAGAGGCTGAGGCAAGAGAATTGCTTGAGCCCAAGAGTTTGAGGTTACTGTGAGCTACGATGCCACAGCACTCTACTGAGGACCACAAACCAAGACTGTCCCTAAAAAATAAAATAAAACCTAATGTGAAAGGACCGTACTAGACAGGAATTTGTTCCTGTCCTACTTACTGTGATTTCTACTTAAAGACCTTAGTGACCTTAATAACCTCCCTAATATGTTAGGATAAAGTCAAAAAGAACAAAGTCTGCACCCTTGGTGGAGACATGAAGAATAGATGATTCATCCCACTGGCTCAACCCAACATGATGTTTTTGTACTTGAAAAATCCTCTCCAAAGTTTACCCTCTGTTCCCAAACTCCAAATACTAAAATGTAGAAATTGTCAAGGAGTTCCAGTCTCATTGCCCAGTGCCACTGACGGGCCATTCCAGCAGTGTTTGCCCGTCACTGCCTTGTCCATGGCCCTGAATTTAACTTCACGGGACTCGAACTGCTCCAGAAGTTTTGCTCAAGTCTACAGCATAACGTTCCAGCATCCACTCCAAAGCCAACATCTCCCAGTGGCAGAAGCTCCAGGCACTTTCTGAAAACGTGGGTGAAAGTTCAGAATCACTCCCTTCTTGGGAAGGCTCTTTCCTTACTGGTCTTCCCAGGAAGCCTCTCAGTCACCCTGCTTCCATTTCTTAGCACTGGTTTTACCTCCCCAGAACATCCACTCACATCTTCCAGTTATTAACACCACCAATAACAACATCACACATCTGCCGAGTGCCAACAGCGCTCTCTGTTCACCTCTGTTCTGATGGCAGCGTGTAAAGGCAGGGCCCACACCTTAAGGGCTTGTGATGTAAGTAGGACAAGAAATAATGTTTAGATGAGACACCAGATCAAAAGGCTGATAAGACTCAAATGTGTGTTGTTCCCCTCCCCCCCTCCCTCTGGGGGCAGATCTTCAGAAAGGAGTCAGAGAGAAAAGATCTTTCAGATGAAAGGGGGGGGGACTGGAGGCACCAGCAGCAGCTTTGGGCTGAGGAGAGATCCTGAAAAAGAGAGAGGGAGGAAATGAGCACAGGAGCAGAAGGAGCAGAGGAGAGAGATTTTAAAGGGACTGAAACCGCTCAACAAACAGCGCCCATTGACAAGCTGCCTTGACAGCATCTCCCTCCAGAGGGAACAGAGGAAGAAGAATGCTACCATCTCTCCTTTGTCCCTTCTATCCATTGTCACTGTTCAGGACTCGAAATGCTCCACAAGTTTTGTTCACATCAACAGCATGCCACCCAAGCATCCACTAGATTCTTCAGAAGACGATTTCAGGCCAGGCGCAGTGGCTCATGCCTGTAATCTCAGCACTCTGGGAGGCTAAGGCGGGTGGATTGCCTACGCTCATGGGATCAAGACCAGCCTGAGCCAGAGTGAGACCCCCATCTCTAAAAAAGAGCCGAGTGTTGTGACGGGCACCTGTAGTCCCAGCTACTCAGGAGGCTGAGCCAAGAGGATCGCTTGAGCCCAAGAGTTGGAGGCTGCTGTGAGCTATGACACCATGGCACTCTACTCAGGGTTACAGAGTAAGACTCTGTCTCAAAAAAAAGGGGGGGAGGAGAAAAAAAGGTACTTATGAGAGATGATGGTATGCTAATGTGCTTGGCTGCCATAATAACTGCATTGTGTACATTAAGATAAGTATGTATATTGAAATAGCATGTTATATACCTTAAATATAGACAATAAAAATACTTTTAAAAAAGAAAGAATACATAGCAACTCTCTCTAACTTTATATTTAATTTTCATATCTTCTCATCTTTATCAACATATATTTTATATCATTTAAATAAGATTTTTTAAAAATATTATTTTAATTGTTTTACAGAACAGAGGTTAGTACTGGTTCAAGGTGTCAGCATGACGAATGTTATATAGACACTGAAAATGATTATTATGAAGACAACGTATAAACATAAGGAAATATGTAAGTATATTATATGGATATAATATTAAGTTAAAAAGGGATGATACTTTAGTGGGTATGTTACAATGAGCTTGTCACAGTGCCAAGTAAATGTGTATTTTTTGGTGGACAAGAACTATAAAATACAAATATAAAAATATTTTGATCATATTAGGATGGTGGTGGTGTTTTTTCAATTTTTTCGTACTTTTTTAGGACTCTTTTTGTGTCCACATTTTTAATTTAAAGGATCTTTAGGGTGCTTGCTTCAGCAGCACATGGGCTAAAATTGGAACAATATAGAGAAGATTAGCATGGCCCCTGCTGAAGGATGACATGAAAATTCATGAAGTGTTCCATATTTTTATTCACAGAAAAATACATAAATAATCTTAAGGCCAGGCATGATGGTGGCTCAGGCCTGCAATCCAGCATTTTGGGAGGCTGAGGCAGGAGGATAGCTTAAGGTCAGGAGTCCAAGACCAATCTTAGCAATACAGACAGACTTCATCTCTACTCCCAAATTTAAAAATTTGGTGAGCATGGTGATGTGCACCTATGGTCTCAGCTACTCAGGACATTGAGGCGAGAGGATCACATGAGCCCAGGAGTTCGAGGCTCCGGTCAGCTGTGATCTTGCCACTGCACTCCACCCTGGGCCAAAGAGCAACACTGTCTCTTAAAAAAAAAAGGAAACCAAAACACAATCTGCTGTGGCGGTTTCAGGAATGGAGACATCCTCCTTGTGTTAATCCAAGTATCTCAGAAGGGAAGAGGAAGAAGGAGTTTGTTTTGCTTTTCAAACACCCCAATAAACCAGACTGATTTAACGTGGCATGGGGTGCTAATTAGCGATTTCTCACATTTGCTAATGAATAAGCCACCTCAGGGAAAATTGCTGGAGGTGTAGAGCACAGGTCCCTTGGGGGCCCCAGGAGTGACTCCCTGGCTGGGGATGGAAACTGTGAAAGGCAAAGACACTGAACAGCTACTAGACCATTTGCCCCAAGTTCTGATAATCCGTCTGGCCAGCAAAGGCCTCGGCTTGCTGAGAGCACTGTGGTTCCACCACGTTCCTCCCTATGGATGAGACCCGAGCGTGGTTGCTGAGCTGAGGTTAACTATTCTGCTCGGCCTTATTTCCCAGGGTATTTTGTTTCTTAAAACGCAACACCATGGATAAATGTAAGGAAGGCTTATGTAGGTGCTCAGCAAAAACAGCACAGCCCACTGAGAAAAATGACCTCCCAGTTTGCACTCTGCTCCTAACACCCCTGTGAGAGGACTGACTTTGGAATAAGCTCATAAATGCAAACACACACAGGGTCCGTGTTCTCCGGCCACGGCCAGCAACTAAAGCAGCACCTATTTTGCTGACCTAGTTAGTATTTAAGCAGCACAAGCAGGACATCAGGGCTTAGATATCTTGAGATTTATTTATTTATTTATTTACTGAAACAGAGTCTCAAGCTATTGCCCTGGGTAGAGTGCTGTAGTGTCACAGCTCACAGCAACCTCAAACTGTTCGGCCCAAGTGATTCTCTTGCCTCAGCCTCCCAAGTAGCTGGGACTACAGGCACCTGCCACAATGCCTGGCTATTTTTATTGTCATTGTTGCAGTTGTCATTGTTGTTTTTAGCAGTCTGAGACTGGGTTCAAACCCACCAGTCCTAGTGTATGTGGCTGGTGCCCTACCCACTAAGCTAAGGGCGCCGCCCAATATGTTGAGATTTCTGAGGACAGTCCCAGGAGCCTTAGCCCATACTGCCCCCCAGCACAGAGCTGTGTGACCTTTGGCAGGTCACTTCACTCTCAAGCTCTGTTTCTGTTTGCTCAGCACCTATAGCT